TTGGATAAGCCGTTTCTCGGATAAGATCTACCCAATCACTCACAATACAACCTTTCCTGTCCCTGAATCTGTTATAAAAGCATTTGAAAGTTTGAAAAAGGAGTTGATGGATGCAGCCTTGGTCACTATCGACCCGAGAATACCTTTGGTGCTCGAAACTGATGCATCTGATGTCGCGATTTCTGCTACACTCAATCAAGATGGCAGACCGGTCGCATTCTTCTCACGTACACTGTCTGCCAGCGAAAAACACCATTCCGCTATTGAGAAAGAAGCTTGCGCAATTGTCGAAGCAGTGCGCAAATGGAGGCATTACCTACTCGGGACCCATTTTAAAATCATAACTGATCAGCGATCCGTTGCATTCATGTACTCAACACAACAAAAAGGGAAAATAAAAAATGACAAAATCCAACGGTGGCGGATGGAGTTGTCGCCTTTTTCTTTTGACGTTACCTACAGACCAGGCATAGAAAACAAAGCTGCTGACACGCTTTCTCGAAGTGTCTGTGCGAACACTTCATCTAACCTGGATCTAAAACGCTTACACACAACCCTGTGTCATCCTGGAGCAACACGCATGATGCATTTCGTTCGTGCCAAGAATCTACCATTCTCCCTAGAGGATATCCGACTCGTCATTAAGCAGTGTCAAGTGTGTGCGGAACTAAAACCACGTTTCTTCAAGTCATCTGGCGGTACCCTCATTAAAGCCACACAAACGTTTGAACGCTTAAGCATTGACTTTAAGGGACCACTGCCTTCGACGACTCGAAACAAATATCTACTGACGATCGTAGACGAATATTCCCGTTTTCCGTTCGCCTATGCATGTCCAGATATCAGTTCGTCTACGGTGATATCATGCCTTGTGCCACTGTTCGCCACATTTGGCCTGCCAAGTTTCGTGCATTCGGATCGTGGCTCATCATTCATTTCGGATGAGATCAAACGATTTCTTCATGAAAAAGGTGTAGCCACCAGTCGGACCACTCCATATAATCCAAGGGGGAACGGCCAGGTGGAAAGATTGAATGGAACTTTGTGGAAGGCTATTACGCTTTCATTACGATCAAAGGGTCTTCAAATCAGTCACTGGGAAGCCGTTTTACAAGACGCTCTCCACTCGATTCGTTCTTTGTTGTGCACGGCCACCAATGCTACTCCACACGAGCGGATGTTTCATCACAATCGAAAATCCGCAGTCGGTACGTCCTTGCCACAGTGGTTGCTTTCGCCAGGACCAGTTTTGATGCGGCGAAACACACGATCTTCAAAGTACGACCCCCTAGTCGAAGAGGTCGAGCTCCTGGAATGTAACCCTGAGTACGCATATGTCAGACGCCCTAACGGCATGGAAGAAACGGTCTCCCTACGCCACCTGGCGCCTTCAGCAGATTTCGGATGTGCTCCAGCATCCGAACAGCAGCAACCGGAGTCCAACGCTGATTCATTTATTAAGCCGGAACTATCTGACTCTGCTTCGGAAAGTGAAATGTCGAATTCTTCTGAACCCCCATTGGTTATACAACAACAGCGGACACGGCCGTATGTCCTGCGCAACAGAGAGGCCTGATATTATTCAATTATAAATCAAACTCCTGAGAACTTTTATCTCTGCGGGGGGTGAATGTAATATATTTGCTCTGTTTTTCAAACGTTTCATCATTTGTTGCTAAATCACTTTCTTCCGTTTTCAGCTCTCAGTGTCAAAGTTTTGGATGAATAAAGCCTAGCTTTCGGGCCCTCAGTCTTTTCTATTGTCATTCTGATTGTCGTTGCACTCCGACCCTCGTCGTACACAACAAACGGCCAGGTAGCATTCACTGTGACATATGTTGAAGTAATACCAAAATCAAGCCCATCAGAAATTCGCAGCAGGCAACCGATACCTGTGCCCATTCGTCCAAGCCTCCTACTTACTTTCGAGACAAACGACGTTGGATGCCACATCTGGTTGAAACAGGACGGGTTTTATAAAGGAAGCTACTCATAAGGTTCCTGAAAGCTCTCCGACAGCCCATGACAGGTTTCACCCTTCTCCGAGCTCATCAGGTAGACGGGTTTCTTGATGGGTTTCTTCTTGATTCGAATAGACACATTTCTGAGGACTCGTATGATAGAACTGGTGTGCAGGATAATGCTGTAGGTTCATGTCCGCCTGCACTCGTAAAAGAGGCTGGATTAGTCAACTCACTGGAATACCGTTGTCCACGATTGGAGGCAAAACGTTGCTCAGATGGCCGAAATGCCGAGGGACATAGAGGCGGCTGACAATCCAATTGACCGTGGCAAGCCCTTTCAGCTGCTTTGTAACGCGCCAAGCAAGCCCCCACTTCGGAGCTGAACCTTTCTGGTACAAAACGTCATCTTATCACGGATCTTGACTGCAAACTTTCCAAGTGGATGGGTCAACTGCCCAGTCATCCTTCACGCGGTTGCTTCGAGTCCCCATTTTCGGGCCCATTTCAGCATATGACATCAACTGCACCAACCCTACTGAACTAAATGGCTCGGACATTAGGTGAACCAGAAACAGCCTTCCAAAGTTTGCATTTCAAATGAGGTATACAGAGTGTATCCTTTGCAATCCTAGGGCCTATTCCAAAACTTTTTCCTTCTTTAGGGAATACGAAAGTATCCTTATCCGACAGTTGTTTCAAATCTACTACCATCCCTGAAGAAAAGAAGCAAGTTGGTCTGCGACAACCACCGGGTTGTCGGTCGTATCGAGTTAGCATTGAAAATACTTTCACTACTTCTATTCAGTGTAACTTTTACTGCCAGGTACGCCAACCTGACTTGACCAGAGAGACTCCTCCGGATGGAGCAGGATCGATTAATTGTCTACTGTGTATCGAATGTTGATTTGTTACTGCTGCGGCTCCTATAGACCTACGCCTAATAAACCGCAATGGCCGTAATCTTGAATCAATTTGTTTGCTTCAAACGATCGTTCTAGTTTCCTACCGAAGTCCGAATCCGAGCATATTACGGGAGCCACGCAGGAGTTCGGCAGAGATTTCTGCTCTCTTCCGAATCGATCACATCAATGGTCGATGGATGCAGACGAACAACCAGTTACTGCTTGTTTTGGAACACATATGGATAATGATCATACACTCGTCCGAACTCCCTGTTTCCTCTCCTTCTATGGGCGTTTAAGGACAGGATAAATTGCTCAGTAACTGATTGGCCAGCAGGTCTCGAAATTGGACGAATCTATCAGAGTGGTCTTCCAGATTTTGTTGAAACTGCTCCACCGTCGGATGTCAATTCTTACTGAAACGAGGTCGCCACACCTGCACGGGGCCGAATGTTTTACCTGTGGCACATCGCTACCAGGTTCACTCAGGCGCTGGTGATCAGAGTGAACAATTGTGCTATTTTAATTTCTGAGGTATAATCCCGATGGTTCCAAGCGTTATCCACTTCGATTATTGATAGTATGTCAGCGTGCGCACTGACCATGAAGCCTGGTGGACATGAAAAGTTGGGAGAATGGGGGAGGCGCATGAAACCAGACATGCTTGAGGGTTATTTCGATTGATCCACCCGACCACTCCCTAGAAGCCGCTTGTGAGCGAAACCATCAAGGATCAGAGTATGGTAACCATATTTAGTAAGGAAGGACCGCTAGCTCGAGCACTTTGAAGGACAGTTCTCATGGCCACCTTCTGCCACTCATTCGAATCCAAATGCAGTAAAACCCTGGGTAGTGAACCTTAAACCCCTTACTACCTTGTAGATTTATGACTGCATATGTTCCCCAAGCGTCACCGAGCTGCTAGTCCGCATGGCTTTCCATCCGAATCGTTTAAGGATGGGGTGGATATCTTCAATCAACGCTTGTCTGATCTCTCAAGCTTCACCTGTAAGGAGGCTGTCTCAAACAACTGGAAGAAATTGGTAATAGTGACCATTTTCCAAAAAGACCCACAATGAGTCTCGAAACCAAGGGGGGCTGATTGACGCCACGTGACCTTCGTCGCTTTATTGTGACCCGTAAAACATGAACTCGAGAGCAACAAGCAGGATTTCGGCCTGGTCGGGTCTGCTCACACTAAATCTTCACACCTCGAGGAGTGCTAGAACAACACTAAACGTATTTCTGGATTTCCAAGGCGCATTTGACTCAGTTGATCGGTCAACAAGCATTGTCCGTGAATTTTGTGAATATAGTAGGTTCTCTATATCCCCAGACTACTGAATTGAGAATATACGGTGAACTCTCCAAAGCCAAAGCCCTTGTATACAGATTGGTGACCGGAAAGGATGCTCACTCACCGTTCTCATTTTCGTGGTCGATGTGTTACTGAGGCGAAGGCCTCGGAAAATCTGCCGCTCAAATAGCTGTTGATGGTAAGCTTGTCGATCTGGACTATGCAGATGACATCATTCTCGTCTTTGAAAAAGAGTAAGAGGCGCAGGTATTTTGAGATGAACTAACCAAAATCATCCCGTCGTTTGGCATGCGCTTTGCAGCCACATAATTTAAGGTCATGCTCCTACATGCAGCCACTAGATACACCACCGGCAATCTAAGGCGAGGCAATTGGAGTTGGAAAGGTTTTACGTATCTTGGGAGTTGTGTTTGTTCCGCTCATATTGTAACAGTTAAGTTCAATGGACGAATCTCTTAGACTCGGGTGGCGTTCGCTCTTTTGAGACACCTATGACAACAAAGCGGAACGTGTGTATCAGGCTGTGGGATTTGATCTCTACGGGCAGCGGACTCGGGTGGCTTCGCTCTTTTGAGACACCTATGACAACAAAGCGGAACGTGTGTATCAGGCTGTGGGATTTGATCTCTACGGGCAGCGGAACTAAGGTGTATCCAGGTCTTCGACAACGCTTATCTCAGAGCGATAGCCCGTTTAGGCTGGTGTTGACGGATCCGTATTGAGGCAATTAGAAAGTGAGTGTTCGGTTGTGCATCAGTGGCTTCCCCCAAAGGCTGTCCAGCACGATAGTTGCGGTGGTTAGGCCACGTATTGCGGATGGTGAACCGTCGTTTGCCGGAGAGAGTGCTGTTTTCCGTGCCCGATTCAGAGTGGTGCGAGCAGAGTGATGGTCAACCTCTGGCCTGGCACGGGGTGTGGAAGCGGCAACGAAAGTTCCGGATGCTATCGGTATTTCTCGCCTTTCAGGATATGGTCCACATGACCGCCACTGTGCCTGGGTGATGTTGCAAGAAATGATGGCTAGCCTATGTCTGTGGCACTCATGCTGTTAATCTGTTTCCAGCTTGTCTGATTGAGCGTTTGACCGTATATGCACCTCAGAATGCTCTCGATGGCTCTTTTCCTTTTCATTTTAGGGTTTTAAATATTATTCGATAAACCTTGTGGTTCCCCGCCATGAGACATGATTGTCAACTCTGGTGTTGATATCCCTGCTGCTGCTGCTGAACGATCAAGGGAAGAATGAAGTGCAGATGCACATCGATGGTGCCAAAAGTGTTCCTCAACCGAAGAGTATCTCGTGACATAAGTCGGAAATAATCCCCCTGGGACAAATTCTGGTCTTCCAGGCCAATGTCCGTTCTCAACAGTTTTATGCACTTAAGACCTGGCCACTACAGTATGGGACGCCCGGAAGTTGTGGGTATTCGGACATTGGCACGTAAGGAAGATGTCTCCAATTAACCAGTTCACCAACGTTACATCAAAACTGGCCTTCCAAATGTAGCAGTGATGAACACAGTAGCTTGGTCCTCAATCCAGATCCATGTCGGTGTCTAGCGTGTTCGCTGGTGGAATATATTAAGAGTTTATTGTCTGTCGTTAGCTCAAACTTCGGTCACCTTTATATCTTACCTGTCTACGGTATCTGACACCTGAAACAAAACAGTTACTATTTGTATATATCTTGTCGCAAATCGACTGGCATGGCCAAGCGTAGTACATTTTCTTCACAGATCTGGCTCATCCTGTCGCTTCTGTCTAGGCTTGGGCAACCTGGCAGTATCCCAGCCCTCGTGCCACTTTCCGTTGGCATGGCAGCTAGGCACCGAAGGGGTGTTACAACTGATTTGTCGACTTGAAAATCGTTGTAGGGATATACATCTTCATTTTGTGTATTTTTTCTGATTGCAGTGAATTCAACCTCTTGTCGTCCCTTATTGAACAATATCTTCGTAGCCATCAAAAATGCCCGCTGAGACCATCAAAGGTCAGCAGTTTGAGGTCTCGCCAAGATACACTAATCTTCATTTCATTGGAGAAGGCGCTTATGGAATGGTCGTGTAAGCAAGACCACTAATTGTCCAACGTTTCAGGGCTGCGCTTGATACTCAACGACAGGAGAAAGTTGCAATCAAGAAAACGTCGCCATTTGAACATCAGACATTTTGTCAGAGGACATACAGGGAGTTGAAGATCCTCTTGCGGTTTTCACATGAGAATGTAAGTTCTTGATCACCCTCTTTGGTGTTCCTGTCCGCTTGGATTTTTTGCTGGTTAGTCAGACTACTGCTTCCTCGAATCGCAGCGTCGGTGAAACGTGTTGTGCTTATAGCAGACACGCTGTCCTTCATTTTAATGCACAAAAACGTGCATAGTTTGCATAACCACATTCTTTCTGCAGAACATTACTCTTGGCTATTTGACACTGACCCCGAGGAACCTCACTACACTAGGTACATGAAAATGAGCAGATATTTGGGTTTGGCGATCGTTGCACAGTTAAAACATGCTGTGTGGTGCTAAATATTCGAAAGAAACACGTAGTGAGACATCAGTATCTATATTCGATGGTCATTTCTTTAACTTCGTTTCAATCGAGTGGTATAATGATTCTTATCTGTGCGTCACAACAAAATGGTCATATACCAGAGTCAGTTCCTTCAGAGGCGCCTTCTTGGTTTGGCATTAATCAGTAGACTTGAAATTCTCCCCGACCAAAGTTAATAACCGTGGTACAGTAGTTGTTAAAGTCACATTTTTTGGGACGACATTTGTCTCATTTGAACTGAACCTGTGGATCGGCATTCCCCGAAAGGATGGTGGGAAGCCGAGAGGGACGCTAGAGTGACACTAGGGAGGAAAGGGAGCGAGAAGGAGCGACAAAATCGTATTCGGTATCATGTGTATCTGTGATCAGTTTCTAGAGTGTTTTCTGTTTAGCTAAGTGCTGAATCGAGTAGTTGCACGCATGTAATCAGATGGCCGTCATTGCGCACTGTCCTTGTTCATCTTCGCTAACTGCAACGGATCTGTGGGTCCACGGATCTTGAATGCGTGTAAGCAAGCCTGGATGATTTAGACCCATCTGTCGATGACACACAATAGCCGTTATCAAATTCCCTCGTTTCGCAGTAAGAGGTATATTGTTTTTAGCCATAGCCCCTATAATTACCATTGGTTTGTGATACGTGGAAGTTTCGATGGAACTTGCATATCAGCATTCCGTCCTATTAGTGCGGAAACCAGGCAGCAATACTGGTCAATTTTGTGATGTGTTCACACAATAACCTCAAAGAAAACGATATCTTCGAAAAACCGCATGAAGACCTGCGGTTACAACAAGGCTTGAAAACTCCTGAATTGCGAAAGAGTCAAATTTTTGCACAGTGTATTTTGTTGTAGCGAAGAAAAAGGCTTCGGCTGACAGAACATGTTTCACTTTGTATGTCAAAACAAACTGCAAACTTTCGAATTCGGAAATTTCGGAAAGCTACAAAATCAGGGCATCTCACTAGCTGTTATCTATGTTCGTAGTTGGACTACGAGCATAAGAGTTTACCTCTTCTTCAGAGGTATCCCTCATCGAACCTCGCCCAACTTGGAACGCTATCGTTGACACTCCGTAGGAGTGGTCTTCCCGTTAGAAGGCATCGCTGTGCACCATAAATTGTCAAATGAAATGATGTTTTTGTTTCTGGGATGTTATGTTATGTTATGTTATGTACAAATAATGATTGGGCGATAGCATAGTGCACGGATAGCTAAGCGGGCTTACTCGAATTCGTGAGACCCACCGCTTTACCTAACAACTGAACCTCCAAACCAGGGATGAGCCAATCTTCGACAAAAGAAGTTGAAGTGGGTTGAGTCTTAGTTTGGTGTGATTTTGGAACCTCACTGAGGTAAACTTGCGTAGTTTCCGGTCTCTTAGAACGCATTACGCTGGACCAATTGATCCACTTGGAAAGCATCAATTCGCTCTTTAAATTTGTCAAGATAACATTGCCATACGAATAAGTGTTATAAACCTTTAATAAGTTATTTGCGAACAAGTAACATAAGAGTGGTTATCATGACTTATATAATCAGTGGTGAGGAGGCTAGGCCTTGATGTACAGCTTTTTCTGTACTTACTCAACCCATCGAATACTAAGAGTGCTCTGCTGGCATCGGCGAAGCGTTGCATACCGCACTCTTCAATGCATACAGGTCTGACGAGCACGGTCTCCTCGTCTTCCACTTCAGAGTTGTAGGTTTTATGATAAAGTGCCTCCTAAATAGTGAGATATTCTGGAACCCCACATAACTAATGAGTGGCCGTCCAGCTGTGGCACTCTTTCGTTGTGTAGCTGCTGTACAACTCGAAGGAGGCACGAGGGCCCTGGTACTGCCAGTTCGCCCAACCTTAGACAGGAACAACCGAAAAGCTAGGGTTGGATTCACACCTTTGACTTTCCGTATAGTATTCTCGCACTTTAACTGCTGAGCATTTCGAACTCTAATAGACTGTTGAGCTAAAGGCCTTGGCTCTGAATCAGAAACTCTCCCATTTATGTAGTGAAGCACCGAATAGCGGTGATGTTGCCACCGATGTTTGTTTGATGCCACCGTAGTGCCCTTCATTGCATGTGCTGTGTAGGGAGAACTGTAACAAAAATGTTTTCATAGCATGGGGAAAACAGAAAAATGATAGAGCGATCGCCAAATGAACCCTTCCGCACCGTTCATGTCATTCGTATCAGTTCTTAGTGTTTGATTAGGCAACACTTTGGTCGATGACCACGCCACTAATCACAGGGCCACTCAGACTTCGGCAACACATGCGTGGCTGATGAAGCTGATTTATCAGGTTGTGGCTACCCGCAAACTGCAAATTGACGATTAAAACCTATAGCCCTTTCTCTCTTGATCGAGTTTCACGAATCTCTTGAACAATAACGTTGAAAATGAACAGTGACGCAATTTCTCGCCTCATGATCATCAGTGGGTTAGCTGGGCGTTCAGTCTCTCACTTACAAGTAATGATGGACTATTGTTCCTAAGTCCATCTTGACCGCCAGTGGTGTTTTATTATTTCAAGCGGTTTTCAGCTGGTCGGTGTACAAATAACGAAGCTTTTTTGGTTTCATCATTCATCATCATTGTCAGCTGTAATCACCACGTACTCGTCGTCCAGTGGTTGTAGCTGCCGCAATTTCGTTCACCGATGATTTGTGGGGGGATAGGTAGCTGCGCACTGCAGGCGATAGATGATAAACTGGTGCATAAATCCAGCACTGTCAGTGGGCTGTCAAAGGGGGATTGGAAGAGGAGCTATGCACTGAAGGCAATAGCTTGGATGCACGAGCGCCATTGAGGGCGCGACTGGGCCATGCCTGACAATGTCTCTAGCCACTGATGTGTCGCGTCTCGGGGTTCCCAATAGAGTATGCTTCCACCGATTTTATTCTGCATGGCTTCATTTTTTCCCTTGGTCAGATCATCGATATCAAGAACCTATTACTCGTCGGCAGCTCCCTGGAGGAAATGAAAGATGTGTAAGTCACTCTTCAACTCTTCGTCACCCTGTCTGTATCCATGCAGCTATATTGTTCAGACCTTGATGGATACCGATTTATACAAACTGCTGAAGTCCCAACGAATATCAAAAGAACACATCTGCTACTTTTTATACCAAGTGCTTCGAGGTGGGTGTTTCGAAATATGGTTTTATAACCTCCAATCATTCAATTTAACCTAGGCCTCAAGTATATTCACTCTGCTAACGTTCTTCATCGAGATTTGAAGCCATCCAACCTCCTAATCAATGCAAGCTGTGACCTCAAGGTAATTCCTCTCTAAACTCATCATTCAGCACTAACTCACTTATACACCTCGATGTGACTTATTTCATATCGTTTATCTGAGAGGTTCCCATATGAGTTCCTACATACATGGCAAAAACCGTCAGTAATGCACCTCTTGGACGGCAGATTCCCATGTATTGGGGCGTTTTCCGTAATACTCGTACGGATACTATCGAAATTCTCGTAAGACACCTTTTTACTTCCTTCAATCAAGGTAATCGAAACTCGTCTTAGTGGGCCGCTATGTTTTCATGTGTGATTAACTGCCTGTCATGTTTCCGCTGACGACAAAGAAAAACGTAAAGAAACATTCACCCGCCGAAGGCAGTCGTTTGTGCAAATTCATTGTAGGCAGTGTTGGTACGAGGCTATCAGGTGTCACCGCTTGCGCCAAAATATGACTTAATGACTGAGGTTTTGAGAGTCGGGAAATATTTATGATAGACCTCTTTTTCGTTCCTAACAGATACTTCCAGCTGACTTAGGAGTTACCGGTTTTCGACACCCTAGTGTTGTCATCGATGGGCTGATTAAGTGGTGGTCCCCGAAAGTGCTGTTTTACGCACTGAACTACGTCTGGTGGATATGCTAGAACTTGGCTAGACGCCTATCACGCCGTTTTGAATTTAGTATGAATAGAAACTTTGGTCATACACAGTAGCCGTACAATTTATTGGACTTGGAGACGTGAACTAATTGGAAGCTGATTGGATTCCCGGGCTTCAGGAACAAACGAGGGGGAATGAGCAGTTTACTGTATTCTCTGAAAGATTATTTTTCTCTTTCGCTCCCCTAGAAGGTGGTTCGAGGACACTTCCATTATACCGCCGTTATCTTGTGTCGCCACAACTTACGTTACCTTCGTAACGCTTGCATCTTAATTTTTGTTGTATTACTTTTACTAATGCCTTAGCATCCTGCATTGAAATTGGCTGTAACTGGGCCTTTATTGGAGACACTCGTGGATATGTAGTGATGAAGATAGCTGACATCACCATAACCGCGACCGTGCTGGCATTTCAGCTGACTGACGGAAACACTGCAATCAAAAAGCAGAACCCTGTAGGCAAACTTGGTGAAAAGATACACGGCTACTGGACATTAGGATGAGACCGTTTGACTCGTTCTTGTATGAGTCAACACGAGATTTGTCACCCATAAATAAGGTCTGATTCTCGTCCATGATACCCCGTTACAGATTTGTGACTTCGGTTTGGCACGCGTCAACGATCCAGAGCATGACCACAAAGGTCTTCTCACCGAATACGTGGCCACGCGTTGGTATCGAGCCCCGGAGATTATGCTCAATTCCAAAGGCTACACCAAGTCCATCGATATCTGGTCTGTTGGATGCATTTTCGGTGAAATGTTTAGCTGCAGACCGTTGTTCCCGGGAAAACACTGTATCCTTTTCGCGGTCTCTTCCTGTTCTCCTCCATTTGTTCTGCTGTCATCGAAATCTGAGTCCAGATACCGCAATTGAATTGTGCTTGCCCTAGTGATAGGCTGGCTCTCAATTATCACCATTGACCAATCTTTTTTTTAGCAAATTTGGATAATACGGGGTGAACGATGCGTGAAAAACTTCGCCTTTGTTTGGTGCTATTTCTGCGCATGTTACCCCGAATCCCATAAACGGATAAGTCGTAGGCGTGGCTGACCAAGTTAACCATAGTGTTGTTCCAAGTTGCATGGCCATTTCTAACTGCGTTCCTCTTAGTACCTTTGGTGGAGACTTCATTTCTATCGGTCTCTATTTGGCCTATATTTGTAGCAACCCCTTTAACCAACTTGACAGCAATATTGGAGTTCACAACTTGTAAAATGAGTCCCACTGAAATTCACTCTATAGGAGTAGAGCGAAGCCACCTTTGCGACGTACTTCGTACAGCGTGTTAGGGGGACCTTGTACCTCGGACAGCGCTGAGGACAGTGAGTGTATCCATCCGTGATCGTTTTTAGGCCTGGATGAGGCGATTGTCTCCTTTGGGTTGCTCGACAGCCATTCGTTTAACAGATCTTTCTTTGTTTCGTGTTCTTTGTATTAAACCGGATTAGCTCTAGAGAAGCTATGTGGTGGCATCGTAAAACACGCACTGTTCTCCTGAAGTTGTTCTTTCCGTGAATAGTTTTTCCTTAGATCGGGTATGTTGCATACAGCGGTCCTATGATTAGCAGTTTCGGCAATCCTGCTAGACCAGGGGATGCGAATAAGCAGATCGAGAGTTGCTTAGAGAATGTATTTAATCTCATGTTTGAATATCCATCATTATGCAACATTCCGCTGATCATCCGGTGAGTGCATTCTAGTCCTATTTTCCTGCGATTGCAAGCGCACAGTTTTTCTAGGTGCTAGCCCCATCAACACCATGGGTTGGTCAATGGCGCAGAAAGTGTGTAGCCAACCGTTGTGGTGTATATACTGTTCTACTTTGAGAGGAGAAGGTGATACAATCGAGAAACAAACTTATCAGTTCTAAAGAGTTTGGATGTGGCCCCTGAAGTGATGAATGCTGCGGTGAAACGCTTGCTGTATATCTTCCTGAGAAGTATCCTCCCTTCAGAGGGATGTATCTAGGGTGGGAGTCCCTGTATTGTGCATTCTAACTATAAGCCAGCTTGGAGAAAACAGTGCTTCAAAATAATGCTCAACCAATGTCAAAAAGGCACTGGTGGACTATGAGGCTGTTCGCGTAACGAATTGGTTTCATTTCCCTGTCGAAGTTTGTATTTACAGGCTCTCGCACTGAAAATATTTTCGGATTTATTTTATTCCCAAACTACTCGCGGGTGGTCTTCCCAAGTGGCGTCACACTGCATAGAAATGCCCCAGTTGCGTTTATTATTCGCTCCAATATCAGTGTGAAATTTCGGCTTCCATTTGTAACATTGTTACATTGGTCCTGTCCCCATTGTCGAACGATCACTTCCTTTTGTGGGTTGGTCGAGCTCAGGATGTACTTGTAGGCATATCTGGTTAACTTCCTGTCAGATTCCGAATTATTCCAGGGTTTCCGGTGTCTTTTAACTAACTTCCATTGACACGGTCATGCGCGGCATAGCTTGCGTGCATTCGGTTTGAAATGTCATGTATGCAAAAGCCGCGTTGTTATTTACCATCCACGGATCCGGTGATTGGTCTCGGATGCATCTGGTCACGTGAGTTGGTATGTGCATCTACGTGTGGACCTCGACAAGGGTCCTAAAGTTGCCAGTCTGACCAGGTGTGCATTGACCAGGGTAGCGATAAATTTATGGAAACAGTTTTTCTCGACCAAGATAGTGTGATTCCGATCCTTCAACCTTGAACATCATCCGATTCCAACCAGCCGATGGATAAACACTGCTGTTTTTGCAGATGAACTGCACGTCCTGTGTTTCACTCGCCCGTTGAAGCACTGGATATAAAATTAGCCTCTAAGCGTAACATGCTACCGTTTGGAACCGGTTGAATAAGACGCAAAGTGCTCCAATTTGAAAATTCAACGGAAATCATGTGATTTTGAGGCACTGTCCCTACTGCATGCATGACGGCTCATTTGTTTGATTCTAGTATGGTCTTTTTTCGGTTTGCGGTGTGCGCTAGTCCATCGTATAGCGCTTGTTTGTAACTTTGAAGCACGGATGGGCATATGGATGACGGGGCGGCCACATGAATTTTGTGCTAAGGTTGGACGTGCTTGCACCAAGTTACTCACGAGATATCGGAGCATCATCTTAATCCAAGTGTTCGGTTACCTTTCCTTCATCAGAGCCATTTGGATACGATTGTTACATTTGGTGCCTAAGTTGAGCGTTAGTTTTAACTCGCTCATCTGTGTGCGTCAGATGTTGGGATACGATTAGTGCCTAGTTGATGTTGGCAGATTTCACCTCATGCTAACAAGTACGTAGGCGTGTATGCACACCGTTCTCTGACTTTGATCACTGGTAGCCGTAGTTTTGGAGGCTGGAAACCCGTGTGGCACTACATATTGTCATTCTGATGGGTCGCGTACACTGGTTTGACAGTCCTGAAGGGACGTGAAGGCACGGTAAAAGGCACGCTATGCAGGAGAACTTGACAGTTCACTCACGATCAGCCTTCCGTACGAGCCATGGGGTGCTCGACACAGAAATCACACGATGTGTATTAGTGTATGGGACTCTGATGTTAGTTAATGGCTCGCCCATAACACTTTCGGTCTATGTCTCCACGTTATATCGAGCCAAGATACTGAGTCTTGAGGAAACAGAAAATGGTTTTGTGTGAATCGGAAACCCCGCACAGTGTGCTTCGAAGACGAAAAACGATAGAACAAGGATTAACCAAATGAAGGACTTCAAAACCGTTCCACATCCAATCTCCATAGCAATGGGTCGATACATTGTTTGCCAAGTTTGACAGTTTCGTTGCAATGAATTTGTCAAGCTTAGTGAACAACGCAACCATCTGATATCAGTACTGATTTGAAGAGTTCCCAAAATTCAACAAGATTTTCCACAGTCCCCAAAGCAGATTTCTACTGACTTTCTAACCCAAACCATTGGCTGTTGAAATTCTCGTGATAACCGAATGATGTCGCGGATGGAAAAAAATCAGAAATACTCCATTAGCAGCTGAAACACCGATGTAGCCCTCGGTACCTCCGCATAATGCTCACCCCCCCCCCCTAAAGAAATCGATTTTGTTGTTCACTAGAGGATGATCGATACAGAGCGAGGATCATTTACTTACCGAAATCTTGTACCTTTCAACACAACGTGTATTTGGTTAAGATTGTAATGTGATTTGTTCAGTGTAACTCACTTTACTTTCAATGGATTCCCGAGTTGGTATTTTTTGCACATGGAGCGTATTCCATCCGTCTTCTTTTCGGAGTCCCGTTCAGACTGGTCTCACCTATTGTTCACCATCCTGTGGAGCTAAATCGCAGTAAAAATTTGTGAGTTTTCGCATCGATCCACCAACCCCCTCAAGTTCGAAAAAGTGCACACCAAATTTCAAATTGAAAGTTTCCTCTGGAACTGGTATCAGACCGGAACTTTCTCCCCGAACCCTTTAGGATTTATGTTTTCTTCCAGCTGCATTTTTTAAGGGCCAGCGCCTTGTTATATGCAAGAGTCTCCTCTCCTCTCCATCATTGGCCGTCCTCATGATCCCCAACAGCTATAGAGTAGAAAATCCTGGTTTTCTACTGTACGCGCGCGATGCGCTTTTTTCTGCTTACTGTGGACGTTATTGCGATTTCGAGGGGTTGGCATTTTATTTGTTGTTTAGGAACGATGTTATTCGACGAAAAGGCGGGTAGATAAATCCTCGCCGAAAGCAATCCATCGTAGGCCTCATTCTAGTTTTCAGCTCAAGAGAGAGCCATTAAATTTTTTGGTGTAGAGCTTTAATGGACTCTAATGTGCTTGTCAGTCGGCTGGCCAGCAATTTTACTTCTTCACTGACGGTGGTGTTCGGAGAGGATTCCGGGATAATTACCAGTGGAATAGTTCTATTTTAGGTCAAATATGACGATTTCCGGTCCTTAGTTGAAAGCATGTTCCTTAACCTGTCAATGTTGCGACGTTACCATAGACGTTGATCAACTCACCCTTATCCTCGGTGTTTTGGGTTACCCGAAGCGGGAAGATCAAGCGTGGATCGTCAACAGTAACGTAAGTCATCACACCGCATTTACTGATCGTCATGCTCCGTTTTTATATCTGATCATCAAATTGAACACACCTGTGTCCTGAGAAAAAAGCTTGTGGTTTCAGTTTTTTCTTCCTTTTGGCTAGGCTAGTGGTGGTCTCTATGTGACAAGGAAGAGAATTCCTTGTGTAGCGAGCAGTCCCCTTGCTTTGTTTCCTGTGTCCTTGATGGTTTGTCATCTTATTTCGTCGCATGTTGACATTCTCCTTTACATGCGTAATTATACTGGTCAGCAAGGTCACTAGTGGACATAGCATCTTCTCGAATAATGGTAAAAACTATTTGTTTCATAGACGTAACAAGCACACTACTCATAAGGTCGCTGAAAACCAAATTGGTATGAAAGTAAGTGGATGTGTCACACTGTTTTATTATATCAGTCATTTATCCGTCGGTGGGAAGGCAGTATAAACCTACTCAGTTTAACTACTTCAGTCGAAACATTGACCGGGAAAGTAAAGAATAACCGACAATCATATCCCGGAAACATCAGAAACGAGCGATTCAGTTGGGTTCTAGGTGAGTCTCTCGCAAAACCAAATTTGTTTGCAAATGAGTGTATTTCGCTAACACTCACATTCCTTAGCCGGTGTTGTCGTTCCGTCAGGTCTTGTTGCGAACTCCCATCTTGATTCAGACTGAGATTCGCGTTTTGCCTATTTCCAACAAACTGACCTGTCGATTTTGTTCACTTCCTCTTGTCTTCTGGCGAAACTCCTTTAAAAAATAACGAAGGTGTCAGCTAGATACTCAGCTAAATCTCTCATGCTTCCGAGTATGAAGTAAGACTGATGGGAAGTCGAGTACTAAGTTCACCGGATGAATCCCGAAAAGGGCCGTCCAGCAGTTTTCATGGACTTTATACGAGGTTTCATATCAAGTGGCTATTTTTTATTATGAAATGCCGGATAAGTGCAAGTGGGAGCGCCCTGTGTACCGTACGGATAAGCACTCACCTATTTAAACCTCCATGGCTAATTTTTAGGCTAACAGGGTAACCTGATGTGCAAACTCTTGACCGTCCCACGCATCATACCCCATTTGGAAACACCCCTACTGGGAACAACCACTGCAGCAGTCGAGTGACAGTTGATCTCCATTTGAGAGGTAATCAATCTCACAACAGGTGTCAAACGGTAACAACGACAGACTTTTAAAACACACATATTTGGCTATAACAGGTGTAGATTGTGCACACTGCGTAATGGCACATAGGGGGAATGGAGGTGGTGTTAAAGTCCTCTGGCTGCGGCTTTTTTCAGCTTACATGTTTATTGGTCCAAGCTGTGACGGTTGCAATCCTATCATTTGACTATCCCGCTATATGCTCTTTCTTTCTGTCCACTATGCACTCGCTATCCGATGTAATTGTTACTGCGCGTCCCGAGTTTCTAGTGGTACCGTCTTGAAACGTTGGTAGACGTTTGTATGTAGGGGCATACACCAACTGCTCAATTGTCATGACTGATTTCAACGTCTAAAAACAGGCCATTGTGCGCCACGTAAGCCGGGGTGGAGTGTTCTGTAGCAATGCCAATTTCAGCCATCGAAACAACCCCACCGATGTCGATATTTGTAGCTCCAACGGTCGCAATTGCTGTCGTGCTAATATATTCCCATAAAATCGGACAGAGTTGGAGGTCTTGGAGATGTATTTTTAGGCTGATTTAATTAAGGTAAATCAGGGGACTCTCAATAGGCTTTATGTGTTGGCGTTTGAAGGAGCTGACTACGTATCCATCAAGGGGTTGAGGTGAAAGGTGCTTGGTGGTGCCGAGTAACTTTTGCCAGGTTAGTTCGCTTCCATAATGTCATATGCTTACGTTTAATTCGATAATAATTTGCTGCAATTACTGATGTTATCCGATAAAGCGTCTACTCATCTAGCGACTTTCTTCGTTTTGTGAATTATGGGTCGGTACATTAAAAGTCCGTTGCTGCGAATCGCGCTGCAGTCTTCCCGTACCAACCCCAAGCAACACATGCGTATGGTGTCAAGGAGTTTAGAAACAATGCTCGCGTGGCAGTTAGCGGGTTATCGTATAACTCGGATTGCAGTGGAAGTCTTTTCCAGTTGGAATAACAGGCACAACAGCAAACACAAGAAAATCACACCGCATATTTTCATCTAGTCAGTCGGTGACAACGACAACGCTGTCAACAAAGCGCATGTGTAGCATGACATTTGCAGCAGTCACAATCCACTGTTTGCTCTCCCACGGTTACTCTAATAAAAAGACACACAAACAGGTTCTCTTTTCACCGCACCAACTCACCACCTAATGTTTTAGAGCTGAAATCCCCGGCCTCTGGCTAATTGAATTGCATATTCATCCTTCGGGTAGCTTTTCGTTCGGAACCCTATGCTGTGAAATTTTAATCCTCTAGAGCAAAAAGCCAGTAATGCTTGGGCATCGAAATGGAGAATGGAGTGGCTTAGTTGTTGGGTTTCAACTGGACCTATAAGGATCTTTCAAGGACATAAGTCCCGGATTAGCTCAAACCACGTGACTATCGAGAAAAGTATTGGTAGCTATGTGTGCATAAAACAACGGAATTTCTCCAGCTTCTGTAGTTCATTAAATCCAGGAGCAGGAATATAATAATATCAAGTGAATGAATTTGCAACCGAAGTGAGGGAGAACCACTCAACCGCAAGCACCGGTTGATTTGCGAAAAATCAACGTAGATGCAAAGCAAGGATGGACGTTTTGCCTGGCAAAGCTGTTGATGCTTCGAAGTCCTATTGGCCTGCCTTAAACGCTTCTATTTGCATATATCGTAATCATCATCCTCATCAGCTGTAAGAACCGCGTACTTGTCATGCAGTCGAGATTAGCTATCAAAACTGATAAGTATGGCAAGAGACAGTTCACGTTGGAACCTTAGCTGAACAGGAGAGAAGTTCACGCCACAAGTGATCCAGATTTTTCCAGAAACCTAAAACTGGAACCAGCGCTAAGGGTGGTAATACCTGTGAAAGGAGAATATTTCTTTGTCGTGTATATTGGCTCAAATGGGAGCGAGATGGCCCAAGTGGTTAGAGCGCGAATTTACTGACCGGAAGGTCCGTGGTTCGAACCCGGCCTCTGCCTCTCGACTTCCCCTGTCTAAGCTTGGGCGACCTGGCAGTATCCCAGCCCTCGTGCTTCCTTCGAGTGGCATGGCAGCTAGGCACCGAAAGGGTGGTGCAGCTGAACGGTTTATATTGGCTCAAATGAATTCAAAAACAACCCTCAAAGTGTATACTTGGCTGAAGGGCATTACAAACGAATGGTTCGTTCCATTCTGGATTAAATCTCACGTTGAAATACGTTGTAAAAATGCGAGGCTCAGGTCTCTGAGGGAAACGTGAGGGCCGGGGTACTGTCGGGTTACCCAAAGCTGGTCAGCAACAGTCAAGATGCCGGATTTAGACCCGAACCACGAATCTTTCGTCCAGAAAGTTCGCTCCTTAACCACTGAGGTATCTCAACCTCAGCCAGAAGAAGTGCCAAAACTGTACAGGGGTCACCAGTAGTACTTATCCGTGCTCAATTACATCCAACTCGGGAAACACTCATGATGGGTACTGGTGAGGAATCCACTTTTCAGTAACTGAAGCGAGGCTCCGGCTTCACACTCGGCTCACAGTCGACAATTACCCTGAGAATTTACCAGGGAGTGCTGTACGTCCTCAGTGATCCACACCAAAAATGCTTATTCTGGCGAATAAATGTATTCTAACAGAATGTTGGCTTTTTCTTTCTATCCTCCTTATGGATTGTCTCTGCAGGTTAAGGTCACTGAATTTTCCTTCAGAGGTTACGGCGGTTGTCCTGCCCTTGGGAACCGCATATGGTTGGACCGATCAGAGCGATCGCTCCTAGGAAGTGCTCTTATAGACAATCAAAATTGGATGCAATTTTTGGTGATACTCCAAGCCGTTGAGAAGTTTCAAACCACCTTATAGGTTGTGTGTTCTACCGATAGAATTCTCAAATACCTTTAATTCATTGGTGCTGGAACTTAAACGTGTGGGAATCAAGTGTAACCAGCAACTTGCGTGAAATCTGATGGAACGGGATATCCGCTATAGCCAGTTGCTGGACTCCTCACGATTTTATAACCATATCGGCTGGGTGCAAATTGATAAAAATCTACATGAAAGCTAATTGGCTCGCACTACCTATGAGAAACCCTGTGCAGCCCGTGTAGGTGACTTTCAGGAGCACTGCTTGTGTGCCAAGTGGAGCTGGGGGGCTGAGAGAAGTTTCGATCAAAATCTGCCTCCAGTCACTGTACTTCACGCTGATGGCTGGTCCGGAAATCCATGATACCCTGAGGATCGACCTAACTCGGTGTCTTCTGAAAGGCGATCTCTTCAATGAAAGGCAATTTTAGTCTGAGGTTGTAGTACACAGCTGTATTCAAAATAAGCAGGTTCTATTGTGTGATGACATAGGAAGAAGGATACACAACTCCAGGCGAGACTGTTGGGTCGTTCTCCAACCTAAGTCCCCTACTGTTTATCTTACTGGTCCATCACTTACCCACTGTGTATATGTATGCTACTACTCACATTAGCAAATTTTCGGTGCAATAACTGTTTCAGATTGTGGATCAAGCTTTGAACGTTAGAAAGGCGCGCAAATCTCTGTTCTCGGGTGCTAAATCAGATTCAGATATGTCTCATTGACGTATCAATGGATATACTGTCAGACGTCTGTTGTGTTTGTCTTATAGTCCAAAAACAGATAAAAATCTATTCGACTTAGCGCAGACGGTAAGGTGTGGACTGATGACCTGTGGACCGATTCTACCCTCAGTATCTCACTTTTTTCTCAGTAACTGGGCAATGTTTCAGTCCTCATAATTCCTACAGATTGGGGAAATATATCATAGTAGATCACTGTGGTACACTACAATGTACATCTGCTTTCGGGAGTTCTAAAAGAGATGAGTCCCAACGAAAACAAAATTATAGCACTTTTTCCGCAGAAACCACGTCGCGATTTCATCTTCACACAAGTTAGGTGAAATAGCTCTATGCAAGTCAGTCCCACCATCACAGACAGCAATCCACCAGTAGCAAGTGTTGGCGCTTAGTACTACACGCCCGTAGATGAAACGGCAAATGAAGCAACTTGTCACAAAACCTCTTTTTCTCAGGTTTCAACACAAGGAGACTACAGTTCTGCGATAGGCGTCCTTACGTGCCACTACTCACAAGTAGCTACTCATCGTAGCGAGAAACCTTTCATGGTCCGACCAGGTCAGCTGACTTGGTAGGACTACTGCGCCCATAAAATTCGGAGCTGCATTGTGTAAAACCGCTTTACTGTTGGCTACTTTATGAATTCCTCCTCAGGTTTTTGCTAGTTATCCAACTTCCTCCACCAATATGTACATGACCTCTCTCCAATCGTGTGCATAAATCAATATGAGATGTGCATCCGCTGTAACACTCCACATGCCTGGACAATTGTGCAGGTTGGACACATACTGTTTGTAATTCCCGTTACCCTTACCTGCTGCTGAGTCCTATAGGGTGATTAGTTTGGCTTCCATATTTGTGAGAGTATAAACAAACGTACAAAGATAAAATGGGTCCTTCCTGATAAGCGGAGGTTTAGTTGCCAAGTTTGATGGTTGCTACACAGGTCAATGTGGATGGTGGGCCGAAGCTCCATATTAAAATTATAATGTTCATAATAATCGTCCAGCTTTAACACCATTTCAGTGCCTATTTACCACGTCGCCCTAAGGATGCACGAACGCCGAGACTCCACCGAGTTGCTCAAGCCTAGACAAGAGCAGTCGAGACATCGGGATTGGGTTCGAATCATGCACCTGCTGGTCAGTAGGTTTGCGTCCTAACCGTTGCACTATCTGGGACTTCCTTGGCATTGGAAAGTTTTCGGCTTTTTGGGTTAAGGAGGAGCTCAGTGAAACGCGCTAAAATTGGAGTATGGCAGAAGTCGTTAGTTCTCCGTTTCCTTCAGCTCTTCAACGTGATAATAGTAGTTGAAAATGAAATAGTTAATGGTGAAATGCCACTTTCTTACCAGCTTCTGGCGCACCCCTTTTACCTTGTAGGGCTATTGAATACCAGAGCCTGGTGTAACCTTTTTTCAGGTGGCTAGAGCCAAGGTCGATCCAGTTTTTGATCTGTTGTTACTCTAACCATCCCTGCCATACTGGCAGCGATGGTGTTCGCTGTGTTGTCTCAGAGCACTTCTTCCGGAATCACTTCTCGACTTCTGGTAGTATCCCAGCCCTCGTGCTTCCTTCGGGTGGTATGACAGCTAGGCACCGAAAGGGTGTTACAGCCGAACGGTTGTCTATTTCATCCCACTGAATTATCGTGTCACTTTGCTTATTCTTAAGGGAACCGTAAACTGCATCATAAAAACTGTGTTTATTTCCGTCCTCTCATAAAGGCTCGGCGTTTTGTCGAACGGTTCAAAAATAGCTCTGGGAAACCGTGGAAGGATGTGTACCCCATGGCAGACGCCAAAGGTTAGTGATCTACTTCCGATATTTGTAGGGCTGTCAGATTCTATCGCATCTATTATTTTATGTCTGCTTGTTTGTGTCTCTATCCTCCAACTCGGCTTGATAGAGTATCTTATGATGATGATGGGACAGAAATACAAATGAAGCCAACTACTCGGTAACCTTATTCGTCCATTTAAAAGTTGTTAAGGTCGTACATTCGTATTACATCGAGCCTGGTTGCGCTCAGGAGTTGCGAAACGTGTTGATTCACTTAACAACCGAAACCTCGCCACCGAAGTAGATTTTCACTGCTCAACTTCTCTTACTTATCGTTGATACTGCTTTTTTTGTACCCGAGGATTGAAACATGAGGCAGTAGACGCAACAGCGAAATCCAGTTGCACCGACCCAATATACTCATTTAGATGACCTTTCGGGCTCTTGTTTGGTCAGTTATTATGTTTTAGGTTACCTAAACCACCCCATCATAGCACGGTCGAGTCCCATCAAAGAATTGTCGTTGCAGACAGCTGGCTGTTGGACGGGATCGGCCCCTTCTACCAGCTGATTACTCATCCGCCCCCAAAGTGTGCGTATATTTACAGCCAAAACGCGTGTTATGCATAGTCGTATGGTCACATTGGGGGGAAGTCGTTAGGAACAAGGAGTAGTGAATAGTTTTGTACGGCGACTATCGTTTTCTCAATCGATTATCGATGTATGAAATGATATGCAGCCAAAAGGTGACTGACCTCACAGCTATCCTCTTCATACATGAAGTCCGGAAACGGCTTGTTCGTATACACCTTTCATGACCGTGACGGATGTGGAATTGAAAAACCCGTATGTCCCTTTGTTTCACGTCCCACATGAATCAACTAGTTTGCATGTTTTTCCTCTTGTTGAACAGCAATCGATCTGCTAGAACGTCTTTTGGCCTTCAATCCAGCCACTAGAATCACCGTCGAAGAGGCGCTAGCACATCCCTACTTGGAGTGCTACTACGACCCGACGGACGAAGTGAGTTTTTCTTTCACTGTAGACTGTCCCAACCTAATTGCTTTTCGGTCTAAAGCATCTTGGACATTGTCCATTTCTCGATGACTGTGGCTCGCACTTTGCTGAGAATTTCATACCTTTGGTGTGTGTGACAATTCTGTAATAACGGTGTTACGGGGTTGAGTATCACAAAAACGATCATTTCCATCAGATGTTTAGTTGAATCTCCAGGAAGCTGCAGTACCGCATGAATCTCATGACTTAACTTCGACCTAACTACACGAAAGGGGACGAGATGGCCCAAGTGGTTAGAGCGCGAATTTACTGACCGGAAAGTCCGTGGTTCGAATCCGACCTCTGCCACTCGACTTCCCCTGTCTAGGCCTGGGCGACCTGGCAGTATCCCATCTCTCGTGCTTCCTCTGGGTGGCATGGCAGCTAGACACCGAAAGGGTGCTACAGCTGAACGTCCTCCTCCTCGATGATTTCAATGACTTCTGTTCTGAAGTTATAGGATTATGCGGTTTAGCATATTCGAAATGCATTCAGTTCGCTTTAATCGTACACTACGAGTGAATAAGTCTGTTAGCCAAGCTGGTTTCTGATGAATTCCAAACGCACGGTGAGTGTAGGATTTTTTTGGCGAAATACACTAATTTGCAGCCAAATTTGGTTTTTCGAAAGACTCACTTGGATCTCTCGTTTTTAAGGATTTTTTAGGCTTTGTCGTCCGCTTTACATCTTGACCACCGAGTATCATGAAATGTGTTTAGTGGCACTGCCGGAATTCTGACTAATCACGTGAAAACTTGACCTTGCGGAAAGCCAGCAGGGTTTCTGATGCCGGTCATCCAGTTTCTGGGACTCGTGGAGGGATAGAGTTGTAATTCATTGGAGTTTGAACTGTGGATTTGTGTTAATTCAGGGCTGTATTAACGGCTTATAGGGAAGGCTTGTGTTAAGGAATGATACATGTATTGCTTGCACAGAGTGATGCCCGATTACCCGTATCACTCACTCCCGACCGTACTGGGGCATTAGAGCTTTAATTGAAGTTCAACCGGCACCACACAGTACACGAAAGGGGACGAGATGGCCCAAGTGGTTAGAGCGCGAATTTACTGACCGGAAAGTCCGTGGTTCGAATCCGACCTCTGCCACTCGACTTCCCCTGTCTAGGCCTGGGCGACCTGGCAGTATCCCATCCCTCGTGCTTCCTCCGGGTGGCATGGCAGCTAGGCACCGGGAGGGTGTTACAACTGAACGATTTTCATTTTTTTATAAATACATGAAAGTGGCATGCTAAACTGTCTTGTGGTACACTACCAACGACACTTTTAACACCAGAGAGGGGAACCAAAAGTAGTCAGAAAGACGGAATTGGGAAGAACCAGTATTTCAGTGCAAGATATCTTGTTCTCGGCTGTGGTAGATACAAATATCAAAAGTTCAGTAGGTCATTCAGGTCACCTGTAGACGGCTGATTGATTTATGCGGTAAGCAGTTCACATGGACTGGTCGAAAACCGCGAACCTGACAGGATACCAGTTTCGAATCAGTCTTTCCTTCAGGAAGCCCCACCCTCACTCGTGCTCCGTCAGTATGCTTTTATATCTAGCGTGGAACCTTTACAGTGGATTGTTTAACTCTGAGAAAGCCTTTCAGTGTGATCCCATTTATGCAACCTTACTTGATCGTGCCACATCCTGCTAACATTTCTAAGTAAGGTCAGCCACTACGAAAGCAAATCTGAAAACGCCCTTGGGGTCCGTGCATTCTCAAACAACGTGATCTCAGTCGAACACAAGGGCTAAAACCATACCTAATTCCCAGTCATTTGGAAGAAGCTCGGAATCAATTGAGGAGTCGTCGTTTCAGTAAAACTTAGCAAACAATGAGCCATTAATTGCTTGGCAGATTTTTCTGAATCATGTCCGACGGGCAATTCAGAGTTCTAAGTGTAACATATCACCAGTTACATTCTGATTCTGGTTTTTGCTGTTTGCCGTAGTAATAATAAAGGCATCTTCAAGACTCTTGGAACACGTTGGATTAAACCTTGAAGATGCCTTTTCAACCTTTGTCAAGTTCATAATATCTTGATTCTATCCTGAAACTACTGAATAAATAAAACATAAATGCTTGTTTGATTTCCAAAGTGGATGGTTTTGTCAGGTTTGCGTTGCGAGGCACTGGGTCACGCCGTGAGCAATGTAATCGGTGAAAAGATGCTTCATATGCTGTTCCATTTTCTAGATTTCAATGATGGGTGAGATGGCCCAAGTGGTTAGAGCGCGAATTTACTGACCGGAAGGTCCGTGGTTCGAATCCGACCTCTGCCACTCGACTTCCCCTGTCTAGGCCTGGGCCACCTGGCAGTATCCCAGCCCTCGTGCTTCCTTCGGGTGGCATGGCAGCTAGACACCGAAAGGGTGCTACAGCTGAACGTCCTCCTCCTCGATGATTTCAATGACTTCTGTTCTGAAGTTATAGGATTATGCGGTTTAGCATATTCGAAATGCATTCAGTTCGCTTTAATCGTACACTACGAGTGAATAAGTCTGTTAGCCAAGCTGGTTTCTGATGAATTCCAAACGCACGGTGAGTGTAGGATTTTTTTGGCGAAATACACTAATTTGCAGCCAAATTTGGTTTTTCGAAAGACTCACTTGGATCTCTCGTTTTTAAGGATTTTTTAGGCTTTGTCGTCCGCTTTACATCTTGACCACCGAGTATCATGAAATGTGGTTAGTGGCACTGCCGGAATCCTGACTAATCACGTGAAAACTTGACCTTGCGGAAAGCCAGCAGGGTTTCTGATGCCGGTCATCCAGTTTCTGGGACTCGTGGAGGGATAGAGTTGTAACTCATTGGAGTTTGAACTGTGGATTTGTGTTAATTCAGGGCTGCATTAACGGCTTACAGGGAAGGCTTGTGTTAAGGAATGATACATGTATTGCTTGCACAGAGTGATGCCCGATTACCCGTACCACTCACTCCCGACCGTACTGGGGCATTAGAGCTTTAATTGAAGTTCAACCGGCACCACACAGTCCGTTAGTCCATGTCAAGAATTCCGTTTTCGATGCACAAGTCGCAACTGCAGTTTTTTTAACAGAACCAGTAACCTTTGCTAGTTTAGCTAGCATTAGTTTCCAAATGATGTATCGCTTCTCAATATTTCTCCCATATCCCGACCAACAGTGAAAGGCATTTGCACTGCCATACCATGAATGCTAGTAAACTACACCGTATAGCGTTTCGCAGATTCCCTCTGGGGGTCCACATTTAAATACTACGAACATGCAGCCTACCCATGGCTTGAGTCCTCCGGAACATCTAGACTTCGGCACTCTCTCCCGTCTTCCTATGGGTTGCGTGGCAACTGTGAACCTGTTGTATAGATTGGCTTTATACTGTGCATCCGTGATTGCTAAAATAAACAGTCGTTCATCTGTAACACCCTGTCGGCGCCTAGCTGTCATGCCACCCGAGTGAAGCATAATGACTGAGATACTGTCAGGTTCCCCAGGAGCAGTCGAGATACCGGTGTCAGGTTGGAACGACTGACCTTCAGTAAGTTTGCCCCTTAACCACTAAGCTATTTTGAGCATGCGTAGCCACCATCTACCCAACAAGGTATTGTTTTCCTTTCCAAAACTATTGTTGGCAAAAGTTAAAGAATGGTGAAGAATGGTCCGTGATATAGCGACGTGAACTGGCAAACATTATTCTGGGGTCTCTGTGTCTTCTTGGCTGGGTTCCACATGGTTGGAAACGCTGCAGGAGCTGACACGTGACCGACTCCAGCAGGGCGCAATATGTCACCCATCTGGACTACCTAGCTTAGATTTTCGTGTCGCTGCTCATATCGGATCACATTCGCGCAGGAGGGTGGGTCAGCCCTGCTCACGGAGTCTTACGTTGACATGATGATCAGTGCTGCATCAACGGCGTAATCACATACTTGGTTGTTTTCTCTTAAGATATAGAGTATATTTGCGCCAACTTCCTGTATCTTCCACCCTTACTAGGGCTTTATTTTCTCATGGTTGTATGTCAATCAAGCGCTCGTATATATTACTGATGTATTGCTGTCAACGGTGATGGTCGTGATGAGGGACTGATTTATTCGTTTATTCGTTCTGAGAGTTCCAGAGCAATAGAATCCCTACTTACAACGATGATTCTCAAACATTTGATTGATACATGTTGATTGACCCCAGTGGTGTTAAGTTGGAGTTCTGTTGAAATCAACATCTAGTGTTCTTAGTGGAAGAATGCTATTTAGCTACCTTATTTTGTCACCTGATCTACTTTAACTTGGAAGCAGAGCATGTCTGTATGTGTCTTAGTTCTTTGATTCTCAGGTTGCCATATATTGACCTGGGGCAAGGCTATGGTCTTGGAAATGTGAACTGTTTACGCGCAACAACAAAGAGGTTGTTGTATGTGCTCCGACCTCCTTCTATGGGTCCGAATCGCTATGTTTCTTAGACCCCGGGTGTCATATGAGCGTCTCTCACTGTGGTTAGCTTGGTTTTTATGGCACAGAAATCTTCGGTCGGCCGGTGACGTTACCCAGATTCGGCTGAAAATACTGAAGTATGTGGTTGTCAGCTGATTTCAGTGACGTTCTTGTTGCTAATTTATGCCAGTGTCTTTAAATGTGCGGATCTCGGAATGCATATGGTAAGCCAGCACTAGAATCCTATTCTTATCTTTTCTGTTTTCAGTCTGATAGCGGATAGTGATAATGCTCATTTGGCATTTGTCCAACAGGTCCTTTGGCAATGGTTTCAGTCGTTACACATGATGCGCAATCTTTGTTCTGAAATTTTTGTGTCTAGATTTGTTTGCCACATCGCCGTCACAGGAATACCTCTTGAAACACGAGTTTCCGCCCCTAGCCAACCACCTTATTTTCGCTGATTTCCATCCATTCGCATTCTGCGTTAAGGTATGACTATGGAAATTAGTCAGGTCCTCATGCACAAGCTACAATCCGGGAAATCACTATAAAACAACACTTTTTTGTGGGTGCATAGTGAGCCTAACTTTCACAACACATCAAATAAGAGCACACATCTGTGCTCTGAGTTCATCTCTCCAGATGTTTGGTAAAAATAACTCAAAATCAGCGCGAAATTGCTACATATATTAATTCAGCTCGGGAATCGCCTGACCGGAAGGCTCGAGATTCGAACTTGACTCCGATGTTCTGATTACTCCTGTCATGGCTTAAGCAACTTGGCGGTATCCCAGCCTTCACGCTTCATTTTAAATTCACGCATAGCAGCTATCGATTGAAGCGTTGTCGCAACTGAACGACCGTTATTATTTTTACTATTACGCGAACATAATATTTGGGTACGTTTTGTGTGTTCCTGACAGCAATCATTTGTAAGGCGTCGTTCAAGGTTATGTAAACATCTTCGTATGTTCCCTAGTCGATTGATCTGAATCAATTAGAAACAAAATCGATCCGTCCGTCGATTGGACTGGTTAACTTATAGTTTGATGAGATAGTTTGGTAAAAACAAATCACATCTCGTGTGGAAAGTTCAGAGTCAAGACACAACACAGTGGGGCAAGACGTTATAATCCAACTTTTCGAGTGCCGTGTGCAACATTTTTCAAGGATTCTCAAAATCAGATCCCACCAACGCAAGCGAAGCTGCAGTGTGTCAACAAAATAGGACTGGCGGAAAGCTAAATGTTCGTCCCTAACCCGCCATGTGTAACTTGTGCACACCCTTTCCACACATATTGTGACGGAAAATTCTCGTGAATCCCGGTAGCATAGACTTTTACAGTACGCACCAGACAAACCGATTATGGCCATGCAACCGATAGCGGCGACTATTGTGAACCACGCGCGGCACAAACTATGTTATTGTTACCTCAGAGCGGACGAGTTATGTTGCTATACGTTGGCGACCGAATAATATGGGCAGATTACATTGATATGGATTTATTGTTCTAACATAACTCCGGTATCGGCACATTCGAGCATTCTGGAACGATAAATGAATGTATGGAAAGCATTCTGCGAAAGAAATAACCTATTGGTGGGACAGAAAGTGACATACCATACCATCACTCTAACCTGGCATCAAAGCTCTGCTTTGCCAGTTTGAAAAAGCGGCAACCAAAATTACCATTGGTCAGCAGTTGCTTTGACTGGTTGCTTGTGTTTTCATCCATGCTACGTAAATCGGCTTCATCATTACATCATTCGCTTCCTAACCCGGCCTTGGAGAGCAGGTTGTGGAGGCTACCGAACCGATGATTGATTGATTTGCGAGAGATTGATAGCAGTCTGCAGGCAATGGTTTGACCCTCGCACTGCTAGCCTCATCTTATACTCGTCCTGCAGAGCTGTGCACCGACAGACCGATACTGTGGTTTACCTACCCACCGCCGTGGTATACTATAGTGGGTCGCCAGTGGTGACTTTGTGGTGTTAGGTACAACGACCGTGCTTTGATCCGAAGGCGCTTGTGCGTGCGCACAACTTAGTTTGCGATAACCAGCATCTAAAATGTCGACTTGGGTGCGCGAATGCGCCCTGGACGACCGGACTGACGCATGTGCTGGTTTACCCTAAGCAGATGGGAAGTCTAAATGTGGTACAGTTTCAGAGGTTAGATCAACGGTGGACAGGTTTGGCTTTAATGAAGAAGATCCGAAAACGACTTTGTCCGAGAGTTTGTCCCATGATTGAGAAAGAGACGTCAGTGAAATGTGCCAACAAATTGGGCTAATTCTGTCTGTACTATGTCGAGGTGGTGATTTTATGACGTTGGTTAGACTGCAATATATACATGAGCTTTGTGAGAGGCGCCCGTCTGTTCATTTTTTTGCGGAGTGAGAATTCGGGCGTACAAGTGTTGCGCAGAGTAAAAGGCCAGTTTTTCTCTATCAAAAGCGCCTTCAGTTCGCTTATACGAATACACCTCTGGTTGGACGTCCATTTTCCCCTAGTTGTCCGGTATTGAAATTTTTCACAGCTAACCACCGGGCTGTTTAGTTGCTTCAGTGATAGACAACCTGTAAACTTGAAATCGAGCTATCGGTTCATCAACTTTGCGTATTATCTACCTACATATTGTTTTAAAGTTTCGCGGTAATATCATCCTAGTTGATGCCAACATCTAATCGCGTTTTCGCAACGTTCACAGTCAACTGGGCTATCTCCAGGACAGCTTAGTTGTCTTCTGTATAATGTTAAGGCTTTTGCCACTGGACGCTCTCTTTTTGACTTTTATATCCACTCCTTATTGAGCTGCCGGGCAGCAGTACTGGCCGCCTTCGTGATGCTGGTGACGCTTGTTATTTGCGCACACATCCGGTTTGATATGCAATCGACCACTCAAGGTTTATTGGACCACTTTTCACTAATGTTTTTCTTCTGGATTCACGGGACTTGTGTTCTGGTCACATGACCAACATGCGATTAACCCAGATTGGTATGTGTACGCTTCAGCGACATTTTATATTGATGGTATCTCTACGGCAGTTTCCAAGGCATATGTTGCACGTCTTATTGAATATACAGTCAAGAGTTGGGTGTGCACCCTTGAAATCACATCAGAACTTGGTGAACAAGCTTCTCCAGGTACACTCTCCGTCCATTCTTTTTCAGCGTATGCTCGTCTACACTGCTTCACACACAACAACGGCTTCTAATGTGTGTTCTTCTCAGGTCTTATACAATTGTTATTTCTGGTTGTATCTGTTTCACAAAGATGGGAACTAAATATCTTCTACTTGGTGTTGTCTTGTGTGCCTCATGAGTCTGCTTGTGTGCGCATTTCTGCATTGCGATAAACAAGGCACACAACTTTCCACAGGACCTAGCCCTACTTTGTTTTACCTTTGTTCAATATATCCATTATTGATCCGTTTCTCGGAATGGACACAAGGGTGCACCTGGTTTTCACTCATTTTTAACATGGGAATAATGATGTAAAATAATCCCAGTAGCGGAATAGTCCCGAATACAGAAGATGTACCCAGGTGTACCGACGTAACGTCTGTCCACGAGATCGGATCTGCTAAACTGTCAGGGAAACCGTTACCTATTTATCTCGATCGTCTGGTTCATTGATTGATCGAATGACGAATGGACAATTACAGATCATCATATGTGTAAGCAACGAACATAATCGCCTAGACAATATATCACATACATTTACTACGCATTTGCCAGACTCAATTTGACCAAGGTTGCGAATGATTTCAAGTTGTGACTTCTTGGTCAATTAAAGGGTCCAAAAGTTCTTGAAAGTAGGACCACGAGCGTATTCAGGGGGTGATGTGCGTTGATCATTCATGGTCACTCACCCCGAAGTATCATGGCTGGCGATTTCCTCACAGTCTTGCCCAATATAGGCTTCTCTAGTGAGTGCTAGTGCTTTGCACGTCCTTCTTCGTTGGAGCTATGCTTAGCATGGAATCCTTTCTTAAATGACTCATACCGTCATCATAATTGGCTGTAAGAACCGCGCACTTATCGTACAGTGGTTATAGCTGCCACAGTTTCGTTCACCGATGATTTTGGGAGACGGGGCAGGTAGGTGTATATTGGAGGCGGGAGCAGGGCTATCAATGGAATGTTAAGTGGCAGGATTGGGAAGGGAGCTATGCATTAAAGGCTTCCGGCCTTCCAATCCGGATGGAAATATCATCTTTCGCTAGAGCACTGGGACTGATACAGCTGCCCAGACAAACAAATTTGCCTACTACCTCCATCGGTTCATCCGCAAGCACGAGGCTAGGGTTCGAGCCTACCCAATCTTGCAGTAGCACTTTACACTTTGCAGGTGTGAAGCGCATGCCGAACCGCGAGGCAGAATTATTTAGATTATTTAATATTGTTTGCATTACCACGGGATCAGATCCCAGAAGAGCTATGTCGTTTGCGTACTCGATATCTGTGAGCGTAGGCCCAGGGATCACTTCGACCCCACAGGCATTAAAGGCTGGTAGTGCGTCTTCCATGATCGTATCAATGACGAAGTTGAAGAGGAAAGGTGAAAGACGACAACCCTGTCGGACATCACTGGATATGGTGAACTCAGAAGAGAGCTTCCCATAGACCTTTACACGGCCGCGGGAGTTGGCGTACAGCGTCTTAATGAGGGTCAAGAATTTATGGGGGACACCTTTGCTCCACAGACACTGTCATAGTGCTTGG